TTAACTGCGATGATCATTCTTCACTCTCATCTACAACCGCAGTTCATATATGAATTATTTCATATAAACTTCACATCAAAGCCAGTATACGTAAACGCTTATCATAATCCAATGATGCATGCTCATGGAGTGAAGAAAGTAACTTCACTTTGCCATTTCCATTCAATTTGGTAATGTCATAAACCACTGATTCATGATTTTAGCTGTGTATCATTGGGTTATGAGGCACTTGGGGAGTTCGAAGAACACTCAAGAAGCTGCACTTGGCTGTATCTTAAGAAATCCTTACACTTCATAGTTTTGTTCTTTTCAAACTTCCTCCAAACTTGATGATATGCACTAAAGCTTGAATAAAAAAAAATTATAAAAATTTTGTTCTTTTTCCATTTAATATAACTTTCATTTATGAGCCTTTGGTTCAGACTCCAAATTTATCATGAATTGAATGTTGCCTTTGAAGAAAAATGCATCAAATGAATACATGTATGAAAGGAATACGTCATAATTGAACTGTTTTATAAGAGTCCATAAATCTGTATTTCTTGTCCGTGGTCCAGGTTGTGACAGGATTGCTGAGAAGATCAGACCAGGTATGGTTATTTACGAGCATGTGACACAGAGTCAAACAAAAAAAAATACATATTAAATATTTATGACAAAATTTTCTTGCAGTAAATTGTGTTCCATGAAAAAAAATATACATCATATAAACATCATTAAATCAGCTACTCTTGCAATCATTGTAAACTTTGATGATGGCGACAAATTTGAGTTACATGTAAAAGAATTTTATCTTCATTTAGACAAAACTTTATTATTTTATTTAATACCTATTTTATTTGTTTATTTCATTAATGGAGCACTAAACAGTATCCATTTTATTTGTTTATTTAACATTGATAATGGAGCACTAAACAGTGGTAATAAATATATTTATTATATTTTCTATAGTGTATGGTGGAAATCATGAACCATGATTCATGAATTTCATATGAGTTGTTGCTTTTAGGAAGAAATTACCAAGATTCCTATTGGACTCATTCCCCTTGGAACTCATAACTCCCTCTGTAACAGAATCTTTTCGAACGCAAATGTTGCTGAAGCAAGGTTAGTAAAAAATAACCCAGCAGTTTAAAGTCAATATATTTAGGATGACCATAAAATGTTGAGTCTGTTGTGATCCATCACCCCAGATGCAGCTATTGTAGTTGTTGTTGTGGTCACCATCACTGCCACCACTGCCATTGGTGCCACTGCTGCCATCCCTGCCAACGCGATCACCACTGCCACCGCAACCATCATCACTCACTCTATTATAGCATGTCAGAATCATTTTAACTGCTAAACTAATTAATTGATAGTCATGGCTTTGTAGAGTTTTGACTTTAGAGCAAGTCTTTTCCTGCCTGAAACAATCATGAATACTATCTTGAAGTCTGAAAATGCCAGAAAATAATAATTTTCTTTATTTCCTTTCTTCTTAGTTGCTTGCATTCTTAGCTGCTCGCAGTGGGTTGTAAATCATCCAAATGATAGATGGTTTAATAAGTGCCAGTGAAATTTTCACACAAATTATCATTTTTTAATTAATAGCATATATTTATATTTTATTTAAACTTTTTACAGGACTATTGGAAATGCAGCATTAGCAATTGTCAAAGGATATATAAAGCCAGTGGATGTCATGCAAATTAAGGTTTCCTCCTTTCTGAACTTTATTTAATACAATTATTAGTTTTCATTGATAAACATTTCCATTAAACAAGCATCTTAATATGTCAAACAAAGGAAATTGTGTTTTTAAGGGAGATGAAGGTCGTCCTACATTTGCTCTATCAAAGCTGCACTGGGGAGCCTTCAGAGATGCTAACGAAAAGCAAGACAAGTAAGTTGTTTTATAATAGGCAGTCTGTTACATTATGCTAACAGTGTGTCATCATGTTGTTTGCAAGACTCTAAGGTCCAATTTCATAAGCAGTAAATATTATGCTTACCTTTAAAGTAGGACTTCTACTAAGACTGAATAAATCATTTATAGCTAATATTGATTTTATGAATTAGCAGTACATGCCTTTTACTTAATTTTAATAAATGTGCTGTTCCAGGATATATAGTCATACCTACCCATGTCCTCTGCAATTTTGGTTCATGGCATTGTACTGTATAAATATTATTATTTTGCTTGATGTGTATTTTTCTCATTTCATGCAGTCTGAGTGTCCTTTGTGTCAACAATCAGTTATGGCACAGAACTTACATGTACTATTGAAAAACATCCCCTCACAAATTATGGCCAATAACTAATCATTATTAAAATTAATTATTATTAATAGATTTTGGATTGTGGGTCCCTTTAGAAGAAAACTTTCTTATGTCGTGGCTGCCATCAAGGTAACTTCTTTTTGTGCAATTAATAAACTGTTAAGTGTAAAAAAATTGTAAATTAAATTAAAGATACCTGTAATAAGAATTTAAAATGAACTAATATAAAATTTTGACAGGTTATTGAGGGGGACATGGGGCTTTGCAGTGTTGCAGTGTTGATTGTTTTTCTGATGTGGTGATAGGGTGAATAAAGTCCTACCTTGCAGTGCTGCAGTGATCTCAAACCCTACAGTGTACGATGTTTGTGTTTTTCACCTTATGGTGTTCGGTGAAATGAAATTTTTTGCGGTGCTGTGGTTTCTTGTTTGATCTTTCTAAAAACTTAAATTTAGCATGCATGAGTGTACAATCTATTATGATTGTGTTTAATTTGTCTTGAGTAACCAAATATAGACCAACACTGTCTAGTTAATCTTCAGTATGCTCCAGCTGCCAATCTGAAGCCATTTTCAATATATAACTTGACAAGTAACTTGACCTCAACTCTGCCACCCTGATCTCAGCCTTTGGTACCACAAAAATGGAAGCTGCCTACATGGAGAAATGGGGAGCTCCACAACCTTTGTGCTAGGCCACTCTTTGGAAGAGCCATTCCATTAAAAATTGCCTCATTCAGTACAATGTTTTCAGCTTTATTGTCTCTGGAAAATGTCATACAAATATAAATCTTTTAAAAAAGCTCCTGAGATCAAAGTAGCTGAAGTGCAACGTCTAATTCTGTGACAGTACTTGTCAGGAGACCTCTCAGAATGCGTGACTTCCTGGAAAGTTTGTTTTTATCATCACTTTGCAGCAGTAGTTTTTTTGGGTCAACCTCTCTGTCATGTTCATACAAACAAACTGTATCACTAAGTACAAGAAAAGATTTACAGGTCACAGCAGTATCAACATGTAGGCAATGACAAGCATTGTGATGTGTTTATATTGTGGAAAATGTTTGAGGTATAAAAGTATTGTGGCAAGTGTAGATGTTCAAATCACGGAGCTAAAAATATATTTTGCAGTGACGGTGTTTCATCAGCTTTTCTTGCAGTGATGCAGTTTTCGTTAATTTTTTTTTTCGGTGTTGCAGCATTCAGAGCCCCCCTTCTCCCCCTCATTATTATACTTTATGCAGCTTGAGAACTTTCAATGTACATCTCTTGGGGTGAAACATGTAGGAATGTTGCTGTAATATAGCCAGTTATCAATGTTAAGCCGTGGGAGAGGGAGAGATGGAGGGAAAAGAAAAGAGAGAGGGGGAGGGGGAGAGAAGGTGGTTATAGGCAGGGTATATAACAGCCTAAGAGGTTCATTGATAGCTTCATAATTAATTATTGTCTGCTTAACAGTCCTCACCATCCTCTTGTGACAGGACTGGCCTCCTGTTCTTAACACTGTGCTTTCCTACCCTTTGAGTGAGTCACCTCAAGACATGTCAAAAGACACATCTTCTAGCTCACACCAAAGTGTTATGTCTCATGGTTTGGCAACAGCCAACTGCGAGAGCACAAATCCATCACAGCAAAAGCATTTTGATGCTGAAGAAAGTATCATCAAGAACGGTTGGATTACTAGTGCAGTCCAAACATTTGGCTTGTCTGTGGAACCCTTTAGTACAAGGCACCCACAGGTAGGGAGCTCTGTGCTGGCTTTCTTGGGAAGAGATGGAGACATCACCAAAGAACATTTTACTTATCTGTTAAGTTTAAGCTGATTGAAACAAGACTTTTGAATGTAACTGACATGTTTTTTGGTCTACAGAATGCCAACAGTTTTCTGAAAGTAAAGCTATGGCCATCAGATCTTACCAAGACAGAATTTATTGAAAATGGGTAAGAATTTCAGCTTCAGAAATTACATTTTAATTACCCATAATTTTTGCCATACATTTTTGATTCAGTTCACATCAAGCCATTTAAAAAAAGCCCTTCCCCCAACTGACCATGATACAAACTCAAAGCTCTGAAGGGAATGAAAGGACTTAGTAATCACTTGTCTCTTAGTTTTTTAAAGGGATTCCTCCTTTGAGCATTTAATTGCATCTTCATTTGTCAGGTAGAAGAAAAAGGACTGTCTAATAGAAGTTTCTATTAAAAGTGTTTTTTGTTGATAACAGATGGAGGATGGAAAAAGAGGAAAAAGCAAAACCCGAGGAAGATGATTCATCAAGTAATAATCAGTAACTAGATACATGTAGTGGCCATAGAGCAGTCTCTAACCGAGTCTTGTAAAACCAAAACCAAAGCAATAGATTTTAGTTAAGTGTGTGATGACCAATGAACAAGTGGAAACTCAAATTATAGACCCAGTGTAACCGTGATTCAAGTGCAATGGTTTTGTGTTTTTTTGCACCTGGTTGGTTCAACAGATAAAATAGAATGAGTAAAAATGTTGAATTTGTAGTGTGATGGAAAACTGTACACCGATGACTGTTTAATAGAGAATCTTCTGTCCAGTATGTTTACCAGGTGATTCTCTTTTAAATTATGTTATCAACAGGCCCAGCTTGTCTGATTCATTATGAGAGGCTGGCGTGCAAGGCAACTTGTCTCAAGCTGTGACAATAAGTCACAGCATCAAGTAAACCTTGCGCGTGCCTTGCTTTATTTGGCACCCAGTCAAGTTACGTGGCCTTGCTGCTTCGATTCAAACCTGTTTGAATCTTGTGCAACACCTTAGGGAACAAAGGTTATGTCCCCTTGACAAGATTTTTTGATGATGATGGGTAGTTCACACAAAGGGACTTGTCTGGGGCAGGTGCACCTCACTGGGACAAGTCTCCTAGCATGTTTGTGCTGTCCTTAATTTTAAAGCGATGACGTATTGTGTGACGTCATCACTTGAAGCTGGTGGGCATGCATTCCTTTGGATAGTGATTTCTCACTTATTTCGTCACGCTTATGTCTGTCACGCATGCGCTCACTGGCAAACTCATAAGAGCATATCGTCCATACATCATACAAATTTAGATAGACAAGCAAGTCATACAGGTGATAGCTTAAGGGTCTACATAACATTTATGGATTGGTAGCTCAGTTGTACTTTTGTCAGTCTTGAAGTGAATTGAATGAGGATTGTCTGAATTGAATGAGCACTGTGAGAGCACTGTATGAGCATTGTATGAGCACTGAAATATACAGTTTACAGTAGTGATAATGAAGTCAGGGTAAGATTCATTTGCAGATTTCATTTTTTTAAATGAAGTTTTGGAAGTGTGCTGTTTTATATTTTCTGTCAACGAAAGAGTGGTAGTGATAAAACAATCGATAATCGTTTTGTGAGGGTAAAGACAATACAAATGTTCATTGATGACAAGTATACAGTCAAAACAACAAATTAATTTTCGGTGAGGTAATTAGTGTTGCCAAATATCTTTAAAGATAATAAGGTGTCAATTTCAGAGAGAGAAACTTGTACTTTGCGGGTGTTTGTGTTTGCAGGATCAGTGCAGTGCTTTTAATTTCAGCTTTGAAACAAAGATTTGGGTGTGGATTTTGGTTTATACCGTGTCGGATAAATTTGCGCTCATGGGCAAACTCATAATAACATATCTTCGGTACATACAATTTTAGATAGACAAGCAGGTTGCACACGCGATATGACAAGTAGATGGTTAAAACAACAAATCAATTTTCGGTGAGGTAATTAGCTTTGCCAAATATCTTTAAAGATAATAAGGTGTTGATTTCAGAAAGAGGAATTTTTCCTTTGCTACCTTCCTTTGCTGTTTGTAGGATCAGCGGAGTGCTTTTTATTTCAGCTTTTAACCTAACATTTGGGGGTGGATAATACACTGTAAGAGAAATTCCTTTCCTATGTAATGGAAAATTTAGTTATTAATCTTTCTTTTGGGTTGGTACATTTGGCTGACCCCTAGCACATGGACTAACATGATGGACCTGGTACATGAATTACTTGAATGAACTACCAATGGACTACCTGAAATTTAAACCCCTAAAATTTCTAGCACAAAAGTTCTACAGTTAAGTTTGAGAATCAGTTTGTCTGCGTATGTTCCAATCTTCTATGAACAATTTTTAAACGTCATCGCTTCTGCATGCATTGCGTGTGCATGGTTTATTCTAATGTGTTGATTAAATTTGTGTCACTCAGGACACAAGTGCTTGATGGTGAAACAACTCAAACTGGATCCTAAAGACCAAGAGGTATTAAACTGATTGGCATTTTTCTTCATTTTTAAATTTAACAAATGAATATATTAATTTTTACTCCTCCGTCCTTCTCAAAAGCTATAAATGGCATCTGATCATTCTTTTTTTGGGTCAATGTTGGTGATAAGTCCCGATGACAAACTGAACTGCTAAATTTATGAGAGGAATGTTACCAGTGAAAATTCAAATCTGGATATCACTCATATCTCCACTAAGAAAAACATTTGCCATTCCAACATATGCTAGTTTGTCAGGTTTGTCCATTGTAACTGTTTCTTTCATTTGTTGTTTGCAGCTCTCTTGGTTTTCAATTGATGGTGAGCCATTTGAGGCAAAGTCAATAACAATCAGCCTTCTTCCAAACAAGCTTCACTTTTTCTTCATTCCAAACAAGACTCAGCATAGCTGAGACAATATATTGTTGATGGCAAATCCATGGGACATGTGACATTGAATAAAGAACACAGAATGACTGCCTTTTAACAAAGTTTATTATTAACTCAAAGTAAATAGGTATTTCTAAAAAATACTAGAATTATTTCATACTTTAGGTGGCATTTATCCATTATCCAATGCACACCATACAGTTTTTCAAAACAACGCAACTTACATGTATGAGATAGTTGCAGATTATTTACTGCAATTAAACTCATTTGATAATAAATAAAATAATGGAACCAAACATGTCTAAAATTTGCATTCATTTGATGAAGTCAATGGATAAGTCTTAATTTAAACTGTAGCACACTGTAGATTGAGATACCTTCAATTTTTTTTGTATAGCACTACAAAAACAGTGCTAAAAGATATTGAGGTACTATTACAAGATTACTTAAAAAAAATTAACAGTGGCCCAGAGATTTTCCAAAAGTGTAATTACTACCAAGGAAATGCAAGATCAAATGGCCAAAATGAAGCCATACATTCCCATTGAAACATCCTGACATTCCTAACATTCATTTTAATATATGTTAAGTTTTGAAAAACCAACACTGTATGACATACTAGGTTGTAAATATATTTAAATATTATCAATATTTCCTTTGATAGTAATTTGTTGGATAAATTTACAGTTCTACATGGAACCTAAGTTCCTGATAATTTCTTCCTGCAGTTTGATCTTGCATTTGGCTGGTGGTTTGCTGTTACATGTTGCATACCTTTCATTTGTTCATTTCAATGCTTCTTTACAAGGACAAGACTACTAAAAGGCTAGAAAAAGCTAGTCTGAAGCCCTGGACTGCAATCAAACTCTGAGCTCTGATAGTAAAACACAACAGCCTAGTTACCTATTGAGACGTAAGTGTAATTTTGTCAATAGTTATTGGCACTTTTTATACCATAATGTTTACAGTTCTGCATGGCTTAATCTAGGACCCCTTTTCTTTTTTTCTTTTTTCTTTTTGTTTTTCTTTAAAGAAGTGTCCTCTTGTTTGCTCTTTTCACTTTTCAAATCCTGAAATAATTAATAATAGCAACAAAGAATAAAATGTCAAGCTTATCAAGCTGGTTCAAAAACATCAATAAACTATGATATTTCAGTTATTCACTTACTTCCCTTCATCATCTACATGTATGTAATTTATCAACTCATAAATAGAGCTGGTTTGATAACCTAGTTGGTAGGGCACTGCACCACTCTTAGGGGTGGTGAATGATAAATCCAAGACTTTGTGAGAAGGCGAGACCAGCATTTTCCTTTGTGAGCCCAAGACATTTTGACTTCTTCAATCATGAGATCGAGACTTCAATTAAAGTGTTTTAAGTGCAAACTCAAGACGTTCAGATTTTTAGATGTTCAGACATCATTTATAAAAAAAAAAAATTGGTACTTCAAGACTTTCTTGTGAAAAATTGAGAATGCCAGACAGCTTTGTGAAAAATTGAGACTGCCAGACAAACATAACTGCTAAAAAACTGCTGTGAAATTCAACGAAAATTTTGAGAAATCCATGGTTTTTGAAGGATCATTTGCCAGCCCTTAATATTATAGAGGTTCCATTCAAGCTCGTTGGGAATTTTTTCGAGGTTCTATTTTCCCAACTGCCTTAGTTTGTTTCTAACCATGAAGATCTTTCATGTAATATATCAAGAAAGTTGAAAATGTGATGCAAAGTGGTGTATTTTTGAGGTAGAAGTTGAATATCAGATTTGTTCTATTGACCAATGGAAAGTTTTGCTATGTACCTCTTTCTGTGCAATGTTTCTGTATGGATTAATATAGTTTGGATCCCTTGGTACAAGCCTCAGTTCTTGTGCCATCTGTGAAAACAGATTGATGCAAAACAGTAAGTTTTATAACTTAGACAGTACATAATAACAGACAAATTGAATTTAGAGTAAAGTTGTTTTGTACTGGTGACATGAGACAGAAAAAAAAAAATCAAGTAACAGCACTCACCAAATTTAATAACTTGGAGTCTGTTCCATCATAGACTTTTGTTTCATTACAGAAGCTAACACTCCATCTAGCTAGAAGTTTCCACTCATTAGATTTACTATAAACCTGAAATACAGCCACAGCACACATGAAATTGCTTACAATGAATGTGTTGATAATTTTCATATTGTTTCATTGACATGTCTTAACCTTGGTCAAGTTCTCCTCACAATAAGAAGTCTCACACTGTATACAGTGTAAACAGTGTTAAATTCATTAACCAAAATTTAAATTTCTTACCAGCTCAAACTCCCACCCATCAAATGAAGAATTACATACCAAATACATACCTTGTATGTTATATCAGGGAGTCGAAGAAGAATGTCACCAAAAAGGGCAGTGTTCTCTAAGACATTTCCTAAAGCTGAAAATAAGAATATAAGTAATCAAATTACAATCCCACTAACTCTAAGCCTGTCAAGGCCATGACGGATAATCATAGAATAGACAAGACAACTTAATGTGTCATTCATTGTCAGGTTTGTGTGGAAAAAACATTTTATTATTTGTCTCATTATATAGGGTCAGGCTATTAACAGTTGATCATGACGTTTAGACTGCTAGTGGTCAGGTCAGTTGTTTACAATTCTCTTTTTGTGAGTTCTTATTAAAGGAACTCTGGTTGAACTCAGTCACAATTTGCACATATTGAAAAGGTTACGCCCATTTTTTGAATTCGTCGTTTGTAATCTGTGTTACATGTAACCTTCTACATGCTTAGACATCCTTGTTCCTTTATGGTTTATCATTATCTCTTTAGTGTTTTTCTATCTTATTGAACTGTTATTTTCAGGTTTCCTACCATTTAAAGGTAATCTCGTATGTGGCCAAAATAACTCAAAATACCATGACTGAGCTCCTTTAATGCCTGCTCTAACACCTTTGATGTCTATGTTTAAGCGTCTTTCAATCAAAAGTGTACATCGTTGGATTATGATGCACGCTTCCACATTTTTACTGTATCACTGCTATATTACAAAAAAAAAATTGATTCAATAGCAGATACCTTCTAACTGAGCTTGTTCTGTAGGAAATGCTTGTCCTGGTATGTAACCTGACTCCGTTATTTTGATCCTTGCATCTTGCAATACCTTTTTCACAATCGACAAGATAATCATTATGCAAAACCAATCTGAGATGCTTTTTTATGGGTAACCCAAAAACACTGACCCCCGGTCCGCAGACCTCCACTGCGGACCGGGTCCGTGGACTTCCTATGGACCGGTCCATGGACTACCCTTACGGACCCCCTCTACGGACCACCCCGCAAAATAGAACAAAAATAAGAAATAAATATTTCAGTTATGGGTTGTCTAATAGATCATGTCGGCGAAATTTCGAATGTTACATTTTGCAAATGTAACATTCTTGAGTTCATTGGCTCGGGCGCAAGTTATGTCATTACACATTGCCATTTCCTTTGCTGTGGCCATACTGTGTATGAAAGACTGTGAAAGCCTCC